GGAGAACGCCCCCTCCAGCTTCCACTCGTGGCCGGTGGCGTCAGAGTCCTCGGCCTTGCTGCACTCCAGAGAGGAGTCCTCAGCAGTGACCAGAGAGGGTGTGAGGCCCGCGGACCACACCTGCATGTCAGACATCTCCAGCATGGCGTCATGCTCCGTGGCCGCCAAGGGGATGGCGTCTATGACGGCCACCTCGTTCCAGTACTGGTCTGCACGCAGCGGAGAGGGAAGCGCGTAGTGCAGGGAGGCAGGGGACAGCAGCTCGTCCTGCAGCGAGGAGTAACCTGGATGGGCAGACAGAGGGCAACATGCTCCAGAAGCGATTTTTGTCACACACGCTCACGTGCAAGTCCACGCGCACACACACACACACACGGCCACGGCCACGGCCACAGAGAGGCATGCACATTCCGGGCGAGGGGCTTTCCAAGCTCAAACTCCATTGCTCAGGGCTTGTGGCTGCTGCCCAGAGCACCTGGGCAGGAGAAACAAGGCTCTGGTTTGGGTGGGGGCAGCCAGGGAGAGGGGCAAAGAGGAGGGCGCCTTTGCTGGACGGCAAAGAGAATGGAATTCCTTTCCAGCTCAGAGCTAGATCAAGAAGCCTTGATCCAAAGGACTTGTGTTCCAATCTGTCTCCAATGGAGGAAAACCCCACTTCTCCACGGCTGGGCAGAAAGAAATGTTGTTCTTTCTTTGCTCAAAACGTCCCTTTAGCACAGTCCTTGGAGCATCTGTTAGGAACGTATCTTAAAGGGAGGGAGCAGCCCACCCAGGTCCAGGGCCAGAAACCGAGCTGCCTTGGAGGGGTTTAGTGGGCACACTGAACACCCACAGGCCTCGGTGCAGTGCTCAAATGGGAAATCATTTGGTTTGGGATGAAGTAACTTTTCCTCACGTTGCCAAATGGTTCTAGCAACTTGAATAATCTCAAGAGACGCAAGGGAGGGCTCTAAGGGTTCGAAACAGGGGCCAAGAGGCACCAGGCAGGTCAGCTGCCACCTCAGTCCTCTGCCCTGAGCTCCTTGCCTGCAGGCCGTGAGTTGTGTTCCAGCTCCTGGTCAGCAGTGAGCAGGTGGGACCGGAGCCAGCTGGCTCAGGACACTGTGCCCGGTACCCTGGTCAGCACAGCCTGTTCTTAACGTCTGTTCCTTCCTGACTGGCTCGGCCAGGAGTCCCTGCTAGTTTTCTGATTGGCTTTGGTATTGGTTCTCTGATGTTCAGAGGTGACTAGGAGCACGAGTGGCACGTGTAAATGTGTGAGAACCTGTGTGCCAGCAGAATGGGCACTGTCCTGTCAGGCGGCTCCTCTAGCCAGGAATGGGGAGTCCCTGTGAAAAGGGGACAGAGGGCCTCTGACTCCCCTGCAGAGCAGGTGCCAATCTGTGGGTGGGAGAAGGAACTAGAAGAGTCTCCATTTGGCTCAGCCTGTCTGGGGAACTAGGGAGTGTACCTACAGCTTCTGAAGACCCAACAGAGTCAAAGGGAGGACCTGGGTATGGGTGGCGCTGCCCCCTGCAGAGTACCTTGCTAGATACTCTAAGCTAGTGTCCAGGCTCTTCATTCTGCCATTCATCCCGCACCACGACCCCATCCCCCGCATCAGGCTCCTTCCTGGGCGGGGCCTTTCTTTAGCCAAATGGGCCCTCCTGATTCCCAGCTCTGGGCCTCAGCTGCTCCCAGCCCTTCTCTCCTTCTGACAATACCATCTCCAGCTACCCTCATTCACTTGTTCAACAAAACATATTAATTAAGGTCCAATTACAAGCCTTATACCAGGCTAAAGGGTTGGGGATTGCAAACACACAGCACACACAAACAAGGTTCTCTTTGTCCTCTTTTTCATGATGTTTTCCCAACGACTTCCATTCACGTTGATTTCCCCCTCTTTGAATCCAGCCATGTTCCCCACTCAGCTGCTCATGAACTGTGCACTCTTTGAGGGCAGGGATGGTGTCTCCTTTTCCTCCCACGTGCCTAGACCGGACTGGGAATTCATTGGCTCCAAAGACTACTGCAGAGCTCTCTGGGTGTCTGAGGGGGACACAGGAGCAAGAACAGGTGACCTCATCCATATTCAGTAAAACCACAATGGCCAGCATTTACATGTCTCAATGAGCCCAGAACCATGCTATGTGATTGACACACATCTTCTCTTAATCTTCCCAGGAGAGTTTTCTTCCTGACTGATCGCTACAAGTCTGCGTGGTTCCAGGTCTCAACATTAGGAGGAGGATAAAGAGACCATGAGGTAGTGGGATGGCCAGTGGGTAGGGTTGTGCAGTGGCAGAGACTAAGAGACACTCCTTTCAGATCTGACCAAACTAGGAACAGAGATGTGGGAGAGTAAGAGAAATGGGTGGGTCAAATATTACCACCATATGAACTGCAAGTCATTGTATGTGAATCTGTGACCTAAGGAATTGGGAAGCCAGGGGCAATGGCCTTCAAACCCTCCAAAGAAATCTCTCTAGATATGCAAGCAGGGCACTTTAGATTCAGGTAATTACTTTTCTTCTTGTTATTTTGAAAGCGTTATTATATTCTATTACTACTGGAGCATCTATTTTGTATAAAAGATATCTAACATGTTATTTTAAATTATTATTACAACAACCCTACAAGGAAAGTAATATTATTCCTACTTTTTACATTAGGAAACTAGAGGTGCAGCGACTTGCTTAAGGCACAGTTGGTCAGAGTGGTCTTTTCACTAGAATCTGCTATATACATACATATATATATATATATATATATATATATATATATATATATATATTTAAATGCTCACCCGAGGATATTTTTTCCATTGATTTTTAAAAAAAGTGAAAGGGAGGGAGGAGGGGGGGTAGTTAGAGATAGAGAAAAAGATCCATATGAAAGGGACACTTTGACTGGTTCCCTCCTGCACAAGTTGAGGCCAGGAATAGAATCTGCAACCAAGGTACATGCCCTTGACCAGGAATCAAAGCCATGACCCTTTGGTCTGGGGGCCAATTCTCTAACCACTGAGCAACCAGCCAGGACCCATTAATATCTTTTTTTAAAAAAATATATTTTATTGATTTTTTACAGAGAGGAAGGGGGAGGGATAGAGAGTTAGAAACATCGATGAGAAACATCGATCAGCTGCCTCCTGCACATTCCCTAGTGGGTATGTGCCCGCAACCAAGGTACATGCCCTTGATTGGAATCGAACCTGGGACCCTTGAGCCCGCAGGCCGACGCTATCCACTGAGCCAAACTGGTTAGGGCCCATTAATATCTTTTAAAGATATCTTTATTGAGAAACAGTTGACATACAATAAGTGCACATACAGGGTAAGGCAAAGGTAGGCTTACAGTTGTTTGTATGGAGGAAGACATGCAGCTTATGATTATTACAACAGCTTTATGAACTGTATTTTGCATATTAACAACTGTAAACCTCCTTTTGCTCTACCTTGTGTTTATTTACTTATTTATTGATTGATTTCAGAGAGGAAAGGAGAGGGAGAGAAAGATAGAAACATCAACGATGAGAATCACTGATTGGCTGCCTCCTGCATGATCCCCACTGGGCACTGAGCCTGCAACCTGGGCATGTTCCCTGACTGGGAATCGAACCATGACCTCTTGGTTCATAGGTCGACGCTCAAACACTGAGCCACCCAGGCCCCACCCTGTATTTAAAGTAGATAATTTGATGGGCTCTGACATAGGTATACACCCCTTGGAACCATCATGCAGAGAGGAACACCCATCATTCCTGAAAGGTTTCCTCATGCTTCGTAATCTTTTCTTTCACCATTCCATTTCCAGGTAACTACTGATCTGCTTTCTGTTCCTATAGTTTGGATTCCTTGAATTTTATATAAATGGAATTATACAGTGTGCACTCTTTTTTGTCTGGCTTTTCACTCAACTTAATAGTTGGGTATAATCCATATTGTTACATGAATCGATGATTTTTGCATTTTTATTGCTAAGCTGTATTCCACTGGATGGATAGACTACAGTTTGCTAATGGACATTTGGGGTTTCCAACATGGGGCTATTACAAATAAAGCTGCTTGCCTGTGTGGACATACACTGTCTTTTCTTTGTGGAAATCCTTAGGGGTGGAATGGCTGGGTCATATGTATACGTTTAACTTTTCAAGAAACAACCGAAGCGTTTTCCAAAGTGGCTGTCCCGTTTTCCATTCCCATCAGCAGTGTATGCAAGTACCAGCTCCTCCACATCCTTGTCAACACTTGGTATGGTCAATCTTTTTCATTTTGTTCTTATGGGTAGTGGTATCTCTTGGTAATTTTAATTTGTATCTCCCTAACGTTGAGAATCTTTCCATGCACTTATTTGCCATCTGAACATTTTATGGATTAAGTATCTGTCCATTCTAAAATTTGTGTTGTTTGTTTTCTTATTGTGAGTTCTGAGAGTTCTTTATATATTCTGGATACAGGACCTATATCAGATTTGCCAATGTTTTCTCCCAATCTGTGCCTGGTCTTTCATATTCTTGACAGGGCATATTGCAGAGAAGAAGTTTTGATGAAGTTCAAATTATCAATTTGTTCTTTTATGGATTGTGCTTTTGGTGTTCTATCTAAGAAATCATTGTCTTACCCAAGGTCATTAAGGTTTTCGTTTATGTTTTCATCTAGAAGTTTTATAGTTTTATGTTTCTATAAATTTTTTTATTAGGTTTTAGACTTAATTTATAATCCATTTCAAGTTTTTTTTTGTACATGGTGCAAAGTATGAATCCAAATTCATTTTTGCATATGGATATCCAATTGGTCCAGTACCACTTGTTGCAAACAGTTTCCTTTCTCTATTGAATTGCTTTTGCGCCTTTGTAAAAATCAGTCATTCATACACACGTGGTTCTGTTTCTGGACTCTTCTGTTCCACTGATTATCTTCTTTTCTTTTTTGTGTGACAGATCCTGCCGCAGGTTTATTTGCACAAATAGCACAGAAGGACTCCAGCGCCACGCAGACAGCAGCCCAGGGGCCCCACCAGTCCTTCCGTCCTCACATAGGCAGACAGAGGCCTCTACTGTGGGGGTCTGGGCACCTTTGGGAGCGGGAGCCTGGGCACTTTTGGGAGCAGGAGCCTGAGCCCCTTTGGGAGCTCCCTGCAGCCTGGGGCTTAGTTTCTGCCTTGGCCTTGGTCTTTGGCTGGCAGAGCCCGAGCCCCTTGGCAACGTGTTTCCCAAGCTTGGGGTGAGCGATGTAGGCAAGTTGACTGAGTTTGCGGCTGCCGCCCTTTGGGATATTGGGCCTGGGCTCCTTGGGCTTGACCAGGGCCTTGATGGCCTCAGCACGTGCGCTCATGGCCTTGGCGTTGGCTTGCATCTTCTTCAGGCCCTCCTTGTTGTGCTTCTTGGCAAAGTGCATGTTCCTTAGGAACTTGGGGTCTACTCCCTTAAGAGATTCGTATCTTTGTGATTGGGGTTTCTTGATGCCGTTTCTGTGCCATTTTCGGGACTGGTTGTGCGTGGTGTGGTTCTTGGACTTCACCATCTCTGCCCAGAAGCCCGCGACTCCCGAAGTGCCAGGGACCAGAAGAGAAAATGATTATCTATCTTTATGACAATACCACCCTGTACTGATTACCATAGCATTGTAATAAATCTTGAAGTCAGGTAGGATGAGTCCCAATTTGTTCATTTCTCCCACTCTGTTCATTCTCTAGGTCTTTTCATGTGAATTTTAGAACTACTTTGTCAATTTCTGGGGGGAAAAGCATACTGGGATCTTGATTGAGATTGCATCAAATATATAGATCATTTTGAGAGAATTGACAATATCAAGTCTTCTGGTCCATCATCAAGGTGTACCTCTGCCTTTATTTAAGCCTTCTTCAATTCCTCGCGGAAATGTTTTGTAGTTTTCAATGTGTAAGTCTTTCACATCTTTCATTGGATATATCTCCAAGTATTTCAATTTTTTCAATGCTATTGTAAATAGTATTCTTTTATAATTGTTCATTGCTAGTATATAAATTCAACTGATTTTATATCTTGAAATTGTATCTTGCAAGCTTATTGAACTTATTTATTAATCACTTCTCATAGATTCCACTCGATTTTTTTATACATGCGATCTTGTTGTCTGAGTAAATGGTTTACTTCTTCCTTTTCAATGTGGTTGCCATTTATTTCTCTTACTTGCCCTATTGTACTGGCTAGCACCCCTAATAAATGTTGAACAGAAGCACTAAGAGTACATATCACTGTCTTGTAACCGAACTTAGAGTCAAAGCATTCATCATAAAGTGTAAGGTTAGCTTTAGGTTTTTTTGTAGATGCCCTTCATCAGGTTGAATGCATTCTTTTCTATTCCTACTTTGCCTAGAGGTTTTTTTGGTTTTTAGTCAGGAATGGATGTTGGATTTGTCAAATCCTTGTTCTATATCTATTATGATGATCATATGGTTGTTGTTTTATTACTTTGTTAATATGATGAATTATATTGATTTATTACATGATCTCTGTTCTTTTAAATTTGTTAAGGTGTGTTGTATGGCCCCAAAGGCAGTTTTCTTGGCAAATGTTCCATGTGAGCTTGAGAAGAATGTATATTCTGCTGTGGTTGGGCGAAGTAGTCCATAGATGTCACTTATGTCGAGTTGATGGATGGTGTTGCCGAGTTCACCTATGGCCTGACTTCCTGTCTGCTGGATCTGTGCGTTTCTGATAGAAGGATGTTGAAGTCTCCAACCGTGATAGTGGATCCATCTCTTCCCCCTGCAGTTCCATCAGTACTTGCCTTGGATAGTTTGATGCTCTGTTTTTAGGTGCATATTCATTATGGGCTGTTTCGTCTTCTAGGAGAAATTGACCTCTTTATTGTTATGTAACACCCTTCTTTATCCCTAACTTTACTTGTTTTGAAGTCTGCTCTGTCTGAAATTAATATAACTATTCCTGCTTTCTTTTGATTAGTGTTAGCATGGTATATTTTCCATCATCCATTCACTTTCAATTTGTATGTGTCTTTATATTTAAAGTGGGTTTCGTGTAGATAATAATTGAATTGTGTTTTTTGATCCACTCTGACAATCTCTATCTTTTAATTGATGCATTTAGACTATTGACACTCAAGTGATCATCTATATAGTTGGATTAATATCTACCATATTTATTATTGTTTTCTATTTGTTGTCCTCGTTCTTTGTTACTATTTTTGTCTTACACTTTTTTTGACTTTTGTGATTTTGAATATTTTATATGAATCAATTTCCTAGAATATTGGTTATGCTTCTTTTTTAAAAAACCTTTTTTAAACAATTGCCTTAGAGTTCGCAATATACATTTCCAAGTAATACAAGTCTACTTTCAAATAACACCATACCACTTCATGGGCAATGTGAATACCTTATAATAACATAATAATCTTAATTCTTCCCTCCCCTTCCTTCTATCATAGATGTCTTCTGTCATTCATCATTCATTTTGCTTATATATAAGCATAAATACATTGCTATTGTTTTGAACAAGCTTATCCTATAGATCAACTAAGAATAAGAAAAGTAAAGGCTTTTATTTTATCTTTACTTAATCCTTCTTGATGTTTTTCCTTACTCTATGTAGATTTGAGTTTCTGATCTGTATTATTTTCCTTCTCTCCAGAGAACTTATTTTAATTTTTTTAAAATATATATTTTATTGATTTTTTTACAGAGAGGAAGGGAGAGGGATAGAGAGTGTCAGAAACATCAATGAGAGAGAAACACTGATCAGCTGCCTCCTGCACATCCCCCACTGGGGATGTGCCCACAACCAAAGCACATGCCCTTGCCTGGAATCGAACCTGGGACCCTTGAGTCCGCAGGCCGACGCTCTATCCACTGAGCCAAACCAGTCAGGGCAATATTTTTTTGCAAGACAGGCCTGCTGGCAACATATTCCCTCAATTTTTGTTTGTATTAGTATTTACTTCTTCACTTTTGAAGGATAATTTTTCAGGATACAGGATTCTAGATTGCTGCATTTTTTTCCTCTTAACACTTTAAATATTTCACTCCACTTTCTCCTTGTTTTCAGGGCTTCTGAAGAGACATCTAATTAGAAAATAATGTATTTATCCTGTTATCCTTTTCCTTTGGCCTGAAGGGCTTTTGTTTTTCCCCTTAACATTGCTTGTAGCATGGTTCTCCTAATGATGAATTCTTTCAGCTTTTGTATGTCTGGAAAAGTTTCTTTTGCCTTCAGTTTTGAAAGTTATTTTTGTTGGGTACAAAATTCTAGGTTATTTTAGAGATGCTCTTTAAAAATGTTGCTCCACTGTCTTCTCACTTATTTCCAACGAGAAATCTGATATTCTTTGTTCATTTTTACATATTGTGGCTTTTGTTTTTGGCTGCTTTTAAGACTTTATAACTGGTTTTGACCAATTTGTTTAAAATATGCCTTTGCATAGTTACTTTCATGTTTTTTGTGCATGTGGTTCATTGAATTCCTTAGATCTGTGTATTTATACCTTTCATCAAATTTGGAAAAATTTCAGCCATTATTTCTTGAAATACTTTTTCACTCAGTTCTCTGTTGGGAATTCTAATTTCACAAATATAAGGTCACTTGAAATTGTCACATACCTCACTGTTTTTTAAAATTTTCTTTTCTTTCTGTGTTCCATTTTGGAGAGTTTCTATTACTATGTAGTCAAATCCAGTAATCTTTTCTTCTGTAATGTCTAATCCTACCCGGTGTATTTTTAATCCTACACATTATAGTTTTATCTCTAGAAGATTGGTTAGGATCATTTAAAAATATCTTCTATGTCTCTACTTGATGTTTTGAATCCTAAAATACAGTTATAATAACTACTTGACCTGTTTTGTCTGCTAATTCTGACATCTGTGTCAGTTTGGGGTCGGCTTCAATTGATTGATTTTTTTCCTCCTCATTATGAGTCATGCTTTCCTGCCTCTTTGTATGTCTGATAATCTTTAATTGAATGTCAGACATTATGAATTTTTTCTTGTTTGGTGCTGGATATTTCCATATTCTCAAGCTTTGTTTTTTGTGCAGTTAGGTTACTTGGAAATAGTTTGATCCTTTTTAATTTTACTTATAAGATTGATTAGGCAGGGGTGGAGCACTGCTATCCTCCATTTCTGAGACAGAACCTTTCTTTGTTCCCTATGCAATGCCTGTGAGAGATCCGTTGGCCTGTTGGGTATAGCTGATTATACGCAATCAAAACTTCCAGAGGCAATCTCTTCAGTTCTCCAGAGTTCTCTGTCTGTGCAGCTTTCTCTTCCCTGATGATCTATATTGGGACCTCTAGCTGCCTTAGTCTCCCTGGACTCTCAGCAACTTCTCCTCAATCCAGGAAGTCCTCTTGGATTTCTCTTCCCTATGCCATGACCTAGAAATTAGCAATAGGGTTCGCTTTGTATATTTCCAGGTCTCATGGATCACTGCCCTTTATTGCCAGATGTCCAATGTCTTGAAAACGTCTACTTTGTATATTTTGTCCATTCGGGGGCTGTTTTAAACAGGAGGGTATATTCAGTCCCAGTTACCTCCTCTTGGCCAGATGTGCAATGCATCTTAAACAGCCCCTCAGATATGGCCAGATGAACATTCTGTCATTCCCAGGAATCTCAGTAAGTCTTGATAAAGACTGGGAGATGGTAGCTCTACTGGCCACAGAATACCTAGGCTCATTCCTGGGTATTCTTTGTGACTTTCCCACCTTAAAACTCCATGGTGTTCACTTAAATGAAAATGTCTGTAAAGAGAACTAATTCATGCACACCCTCTCACGTCTTTTGTTTATCCTGGAGCCCTTCCCCTGGTAAAAGAATTTAGGGGCTATGCCTCACTGCTCCCTTTCAGTCTTCAGAAGACCTCACTGGTCCACCCACGGCCTCACAAGCCTGGATCTGAGGCTGTAGGTGGCCATACTCAGTGCTGGTGGGGATTACTACTTAGTCAGAGCAATGTTCTTTCAGGCCTGAGCACAGCCTCATAAGGAACATCTCACAGGTGGCACCCAGACCATAATAAGGTCTGCTGAGTTCCCTGGGTTGCATTTCAGATGTATCTGTCTCTCTAGGAGTCCCATGCGACGCTGCCATACCTTAGTCACCAGCACATCCTTCAGTCTAGAGACCTCTCCTTTGGGTTGCTTGTTAGAGGAACCAGGTAAAAGGCAACCATACAGACTGCTTTTGGACAGAGGACAGTCCAGGGGTCCCTCCCCAGGTCTCTCTTCATCTCAGCTTATCATGTGGGTCTCTGCTTATCTGGATGTAATGATTATCCTGTTAATGTCAGTAGCAAGCTGGACGAGGAGTGGACAGGCACCCTGACCTCAGACAGGAGCCAAATTCAGCAGCTGTATTTTTTAAAAGTTGACAGAAATAAAACACATTTGATTTCTAAGAAGACATTCATATATGTTCAATTTATCAAATGAAATGGAGCTGACAAGTGTGGGTGTGAGGTGTCCATTTTTTCATTTCGTAGGAGAAATCTGTTTTATTTTTAGGAACATGCTATTTTTCCCCTGCTCTTAGGTAATCT